TGTGTGCGCGTGTGTGCGCGTGTGAGAAAGAGGCACAAATAGGGCGAGGGGTTGAAAAACCATGAATGTGGAAGGTCACGGCCGCATGTTTTATAATTCTACTTTTTCCTTCATTCCCGCGGCGAGCGGGCGAGGAAGGTGGCTGCGAGCGGGCGGGGCCGCGTTGCAGGGGCTCGACGGCTGTGGCGCCGGGGGGCCGCCCGGGGAAGCTGCTGACCGCGGCCGTGACCGGTGCCTCCCGCAGGCTTGGGCGCCCATGGCCAGCGCCGCCGCCACGGGGATGGGGCAGAGCCTCGCGCTGTTTGCAGCAGCTGCGTGAGGCTCCCTGTTTATGTGCTCATCACGAACATTTTATAGCAAAATAAAATGAATATTTCAGGAGGAGATGATGCATTTAATAATTTCTGAACCCGGTGGTCTGACACTTTCGATTCCAGCCAGCACCCGGGAGCAGGGAGCCCAGCCAGGAGGCCTCCGAGCCCAGGGCGCCCCCGCCCGTCCCGCTGAGCCCCGGGGAGGGAGGGCCTGGAGGCGGCGGGCGTTCATGTGTGACCCCGACTTCAGGCCACCCCTCCAGGCTGGTCCCCAGCTCTTTCCTCCAAATCCACTGCCCCAAGGTGCCCTCACGGTCCTGGGAGAGGGGTCCCTGCATTAGCACAAACCGCTGAGCTCCCCCAAACCCAGCAGGGGACTCGGCGCAGCCCCAGGCGCACCGAGGGGGCGTCCCCTGAGGGCGCGGCAGCCCCCAGGCCCGGCCTCGGGGCACCGGCCCTCCCACCTTCTAACTTTAGCCTCTTGTCTCTCTCTTGCAGGAGAAAAGATCTTTCAATTAATCAATATTTTATACCACAACTCTGCTGAGACTTCCAATAAATTTCTAGAGCTGCAGATTTTGCTCTAATCTCATTATCGGCCCTTCATCAGAAACTTATATTTTAAGCTGATTCTAAAATCAGGAAAAGAACGGGCAGGCGGCTGACCTTGAGCCGGGCGGCCTCTGGCCCCCAGAGGGAGAGGCCTGGGACGGGCGGGCGCTGGGCTCCGAGGCCCGAACCCCGGCTCCGCGCGCTCCCCGTGCCCCAGCCCATCCGCTGACTCAGCGCAGCTCCAAGGCACCTTCAATCCTAAATATTTTCATGAGAATTTGTCTTTCGTTTTTTGCTAAAAACACAAATGACTGCGGAAGGGAGCACATAGCTAAGAGGCTGATTTTTTTTTCTGAAGTATTTTCATTATTTGATAAGGATTTAAATGGATTTTAACTACCTCCCCAGATAGTTCTTTTTAAATGTTTTAATTTTAAGACCTTCCTGGCTTAATACATTATATGCGCATAATCAGGTTATATATTCTCCACCCTAGCTCAGTCTGCATAATAAGAAAATGGGATTATAATAACAGCTCCGCAGGCCGTTAGCCCAGCCATCACCTCGGGGCTGGGCGCTGCGGGGTCACGTCCCCCCCACAGCCCCTCCGGTCCCCGTCGCTGGCTCCAGGGCGCCCCACCCCAGGTGCCACAGCCCCACTGGCCGAGCCCACGGAGGGATCCGGTCGCGCGTGAAGGGGCTCCCTCACCCAGGCCGACTCCTCGCACCCCTGACCGCCCTCAGGCTGGGGCACCCTGGGGTCAGGCAGCTTGAGCCTCAAGAAAGCGTAAGAGCTGGACGCGGGCGCGGGCCCTGGGAGGGAAGGGGCCTGGGTGCAGGGGTGGGCGCGCCCCGACTCTCCCCACACCGCCGCTGGCATCGCCGGGTGGAGGCTGGGTGTCACCCCGAGTGAGGCAGGGAGGGGCTACACTGGGTGTCAATGCGGGAGACACGGGGGTGCCGGCCTCGCGAGCAGGGGTGGCGCGTCTGCTCCCACCCCCAGCACAGCCGGGTCCAGCGCGGCCACGTCCATGGTCGGCTGTGACAGTCCCAGGGTGTCGCCGAGGGGGGCCTGGCCGTTGGCTGCCCACGGGAGACAGGGCGGCGGCAGGGGCTCAGCTGCAGCACCCCCACACAAAGGACCCCCAAGTCTGTAACCCAGGACCTGTGCCCTGACTCGGGGCACGTGGGCCCCACAGCCATGGGACATGGGGTGGGGTCTGGTTGTGGGGGACGGCGTTGGCCCTGCTGCCTGCCGGGGCGCCCTGTCCTGAGCCGCCGCCTTTGTGGCAGGCAGACCCGCGGGGTCCCCCTGTCTGGAATCTGGGGTGAGCTGCCAAGTGGCGTGTGGTGGCAAGAGATGTTTATGACGTGCAGGGCGCAGCGAGCGTTTCTTTTATATCCTAAATAAAACCTAAACTCCTGCGTGTTTGTGGCCTCGTTTCTGTCGCCCGTTCCGCGCCGGGGGTACAGCCAGCGTGGGCCCCAGCGCGCTCCCACCCCCGCCAGCGCGGCACACACTGCGGGGCACCCGCACCGCCCCGGGCCCCACAGACGCAGCGGGCGAGGCGGGCGGGGAAGAGGGGAGTGTGGGCGAGGAGGGCCTGGGGGAGCCGGGGCCGGGCAGCTTCTCAGACTGGGCATTTGCTCAGCTCGGACCAGTGCCAGTCTGGCACAGAGTTGGCGGCCAGCGGGCTCCAGGCAAGGGGCACTGCCCAGGAGAGCCCACGGGAAGGAAAGCTCCGTTCAGTCTTCCCGCCTGGGGGTCCTGGCCCCTCAGCCTGCTGTGACCCCTGTTCTGAGGCCTCTATGCGTCCAGCATCTCAGTGACGCTCCTCAGCGCCCCTGAAACAACAGTCCGGCAGGCGTGGGCACCCAGAGGAGGCTCCTTGGGCTGGCCCTGGGTCCCCCGAACTCTGCCCCATGGGCCGGAGCCAGGCCCTGCCCCCCACACCTGGGAAGTCCCGGGGGCGCGTGAGCAGGCAGGTAGGGAGAGGGCAGCTGGCCTGCAGCCCACGGCCTGGGGGGCAGGTGTCTCTCTCAGGATGTGACGGAGCCCTCCACGGGCACCACCTGCCGGGCCCCCGGGGCAGCCCTGCCCACCCTCCTGGAGCCAGGCTGAGCCTGCGGGCCGGTGGGGAGGTTTGAAAGCGCCCCCCCCGCCGGCACCGTCCTGGGCTCATCGGGACAAGGGCCAGTGGCCCCCAACGACGCCCGCTGTGGCCGGACCTAGCCAGGAGAAGGGGTGCCAGGGAAGACCGGCACCCGGGAACTGGTCGGTCCCCCGCGGCCTCTGCCATCCCCCAGGGCGTGGGCTCCCAGAGCTGGTGGCTGGAGTACAGGCGGGCTGGCGCGAGGGTGCAGAGCGGGAGGAACCGCCGGGCCTGGCCCGGCCCACAGCAGGGCGCGTGCCCCCCAGCCCCGCTCGCCCCCTCCCTCCCTCGCATCATCCCTGCCTTGGGGAAAGGCCGGTTCTGGTTTCGGAGCCCCGGGTGGGGGAGGGCGGGGGAGGCCAGGGGCTCCCCCCATGAGGGCACTTGCCCGGAGGAGTGGGGGGGATTGGAGCGGTTTCCACACCTGCCAGTGTTCCGGCAGGCCCCGGCAGCCTGTGAGGCGGAGGGTGCCCCGGCGCGGAGGGTGCGCGGGCAGGAGGGTGCGCGGGCAGGAGGGTGCGCGGGTGGCCATTCTGCTGCGAGGCTTTCTGTGCTGGGGGGAACCCGCCCCGGAGGGCAGCTGCTCATCTGTGGTTTGCAAACCGAGGTCGGGACAGGTCGGCGCCCGTAGGCAGGCAGCTGGCTGGAGCGATTTGTCATCCCAATGGCTCGGCCGGCCGGGAGGCCGCAGCGCAGGGGCAGAGCGGACACTGCACTGAGCCGGCCTAGCAGGACTGGCCACGGCTGGCGGCCTGGGTATCTGGTCTGGAGATGGGGTGACGGGGGTCCCCACAGAGCATGGGCCCCGAATTGGGGTCATGGGTGTCCCCCATGGAGCACAGGCCCTGAGTTGGGGTGACGAGGACAGGCTGGCGCGGTAGCTGACCAGCGAGGACAGGGGCCCTGTAGCTGACCTGCGAATCCTGCTCAGAGGAGGCGGCTCAGGGGCTCCGCGGACGCCCGGCAGGAGGAGCTGCCTGTGGGCGCTGTGCCCCCTCGGCGACGGGCGTGCTGGGCTCTCCAGACCCAGCGGTGCGATCCGAGTGGCCCCACCAGCGCCGAGACACGCGCTGAGGGGCTCCGGGAAGGCTCAGCCGCCGAAGCACGCTGGTTTAAAATATTTATTACTTAAAAAAAATTAAAAATTTTTTATACAAAGATGATGAGAAAAATCTCATGCAAACTCTGGCCGTACGATAAAAATAACTCAAATATTCATATGATGAATTTGTACAAAATAATTCTTCTGTCAGTAGGAACTGTGGCGGCCGCACCGCCCTCCCGGGCCCACCGCGGCGGCCCAGGTCCGGGCCAGGCGTCCGGCGCCGCGCGTGGCGACGATGGCCTATTGCTGCTCTCCGGAGTTGGACGGGCCGCCGCGGCGCCCCACGCCCGCGGCCCCGGGGCCCCGGGGGCTTCAGAGAAGGTTCAGCTAATGGACTCCACCGTGGGGACGCTGCTGCTTTGTGACGAACCTGCAGTGGATTTCTAATTTGTATATATTACCAGTCATTTGCATAATTAAAACAATTAAGAGATCGACATATCATGGCCATTAGAAATGCATCAAAGTCTGAACATCGTACAAAAGAGAGAGCTTCAATATGAAACAGTAATCCTCTGAGAAGGAAGCCCACGGCACCTGCAGAGCACACCCATGCACACGCCCCTCTGTGCACACAGCTCTCTGCGGACACACCCCTGTGCACACAGCTCCCTGTGGACACACCCCTGTGCACACGCCCCTCTGTGCACACAGCTCTCTGTGGACACACCCCTGTGCACACACCCCTCTGTGCACACAGCTCTCTACGGACACACCCTCTGTGCACACAGCTCCCTGTGGACACACCCCCTGTGCACACGCCCCTCTGTGCACACAGCCCTCAGTGCACATGCCCCCTGTGCACATTCCCCCTGTGCACACACCCCTCTGTGCACACACCCCCTGTGCACACGCCCCCTGTGCACACGCCCCGCTGCCTGTGCTTCCTCCTCTGTTCGCCCCTTGCCCGGAACTCTCAGTCTTGTTGCATTTCCCACACTCATCTCATCTTCCGGAGTCTCAGTCTGTTTTCCTTGTCCCGTTTCTTCAGAACAAGCATGAACTGGTTGAAGAAGTGCTCCTGGTCCTTTCGTTTCTGCACAAGTCGAAACCTCTGATCCCGGCCATATTTCTCGGCAAACTCCTTGAAGGTGGTCCTGGAAAGCAAGCAGGTTCCTGAGCTGCCAGCTGAGAGCCTCCCGGCTTCCCGCTCGCAGGCCCGCGCCACTGGGACGGTGGACCCTCGCCAGCCCCTGCGTGAGCAGCACCGCGGCTCTCACCCTGGCCCGACCGGCCACTGCCCCCTCCTGCGCCACCCCCCACGCCTTGTTCACAGCTCCCGCAGGTCTGTTCCAGAAACGTGTCCCTTTAGCGGTTAGGGGCGAGCAGCCTGGCCGTGGCCCCGCCCACCCTGCTCCCGGAACCCTGTCTGTCCCCCACCAGGGGATGCCGGCATGGGCTTCGCTCCGTGCTGACGCCAACGTCTGCCCCAGGGACTGACATGTTGTCGGGCCCCAACACCGAGAGGTGGGTCTGTGCTGGGTCAGGGAGCCTCTGACAAGGACACAGGCGAGGCCCCGCGGGCTGGACAGCTCAGGGACACAGGAGTGGACACATCTCGCAGGTGCAGGCTCCGGCTTGCCCAAGGGCTGGCTTCAAGGGCTGACCTTGAAGCCAGGGCCAGTGCGGCTCAGGCCGACCTGGCCTGCAGGAGGCTCCCGGGGCCCAGGAGAGGAGCTGGGCCCTGGCCCAGGCCTGCGGCCCCTGCCCCTGCAGACGCTTCATTTTGTGTTAAATTATTACGACCTAGTGGGTTTCCCATGAGCAGTGAGGGGCACTGCCAGGGCTGTTAGGAGAGAGGGCGGCGGCCGGCAGAGTCCTCCTCCCTGTGGTCCCAGACGGTGGGGCTCAGCCCTGCGCGTGACCCCGCCCGGGCTCCAGAGCTGCTCTGAGGATACCTGGGGAGGTTCAGCTGCAACTCTGGCGACACCCCCCTACCTGGGCGACACCTTAGATTCCTCCAGAAGCTTCCTGAACTCTTCTTTGGCGAGCAGCAGTTTGCTTTTCTTTTCCTTGTATTCTTCTTTGATTCTGGCCTTGACAAACTGCTCAAATATCTGAAAACACACAAGACAGAGCTGTCGCGGGCGGCAGACCAGACAGGACAGTGTGGTCAGCGGCCAGCCTCCGTCCCCGCTGCCGGCTGGGGTGAGACTTGGGTTCCCAGAGGCCACGTGCTTCTCCACCAGGGCGCCCCCCGGGTGGCGGGGCCGGGATGGCCGGACCCGGGGCAGCTGGCCCAGCCGGCTGTGCCGATGGGCTCTGGCGCTCTCGGCACCCCAGGGCACTGCGTCTCTTCCCGCCACCACATCATTGGCTCCGGGCTCGAAAAACAGCTTTAGCCAGGGACGCGGAGGGCGGCCGGCGCCTCTGAATCGCGAGCGGTGCTCCCTGCTCAGCAGAAGGGCTTGCTGCGGCCGCTCCGGGCCCTGCGCCAGCGGGAAGGGCGTGGGGGGAGCACGCAGGCCCCCAGCGTGGCAGGCGCGTCCTGAGGGCGGGCTCAGCGGCGTGTCGGACACACATGACAGGCTCTGACTGTTTTGGTTGAATAGTCGGACTTTCTGGCTTTTCGTATCACAAAAGGCAGAGGTGATGCCTGGCCATGACGAGGTCCTGGTTCTCCTCACCCCGGGGACGTGGGCGTCCGCGCGGCTCAACGCAGCGTTTTCTGAGGCACCTCTAAGCACTTCTCACGCGCTCGAAGGTTTCTTTCCAGAAAATGTGACTCAACTGGCTGGCAACAGGGCCAGGAGACGCAGTCCTGTGTCTGGGGGACCTGGCCTGCCCCAGAGCCCGTAGGGGCCGGCCAGCGGCAGGAGCAGATGGCCACACAGCAGGCGCCCCACGCGGCCCAGGCAGCTCCTGACCCCGTGGCTGGGGATGGTGGCCGCTGGCTCTGCTCTGGTGTGAGGCCTGGGGCACGTGTGGCCGCTCCCCCACCCCTGCCCTCCTGCTTTCTGTCTGCCCCTCACGACACACCCACGCCCGTCACGTCTGCCCCAAGAGCAGAGGGGTCGCCGCCGCTGGGGGGCCAGACAGGGCTGTGGATCCTCCGGGATTCGTCTCCAGACCCGGCTGGGCGGGGACCATCCGTGTTTGCAGTCTGGCCGCCTGTCCGTCTGTCCGTCTGTCCAATCTGGGAAGCAGTGTTGGCTCCGTGGCCCACTGTGCCAACAACCATGACCTCCGGGCCTGGTCCCTCTGAGCCATGTCTTGCTTTCCAGGGACCTGCTCTAGAAACTTCCATCCTCTGCTCCTGCTGCTGCTGTCCCCTGGGCCTCTGCCCTTGCACGACTGTCACCACGACCTGTCTTTCCAGCACGGCCCCTGGGGTGTGTCAGGGTCCCCAAACCTGTGAGTGTGAGCGTTTGCCTTCTGGGCCTTGACGGCTGTGCTGGGGGCAGCTCCAGGACCGTCCCTGCACCCGCGCTCACCCCGCTCTCACGGCGGGTGCAGACCCCACCCCCAAAGGGGCAGCAGCATCCCCCCAGCCTGCGTCTCCCGGGCTGTCCCCGGGGTGAACCAGCGTTACCTGTTTCCGCTCCTCGGAGTTCAGCAGGAGGTAGCGGGGGTCAAACACGATTTTATGCAGCTCTTTCTCCCAGGTGGAGAACGCGGACACCTGAGGGGGAGTGGACAGTGCGCTTAGCCTCGAGGCGCGGGGGCGGCGGAGGAGGGCGTGGGCTCGGGACCCGCAGACACGCCAGGCCGGGCCACAGGGGACGCCCGCTGCCCGCGCCCGGGGACAGCCCGTCTCGAGGGCAGGAAGGAGGCCTCTGAGAGCTCAGAGCCCGGCTCGGGGAGGGCGCGTCTCCCGCACTCCCGAGCTCAGCGCCAGGAGACCCTTGTCGACATCCGTCCTCGGTGACGGACCCACTTCCCAGCAGGCTGAGGCTCACGGGGACCCGGCACGAGGAGCCCGTCACCCCAGCACAGGGTGGCCACGCCGGTGGCCGCTGGCCTGTGGCAGAGCCCACTCCCTGGCCTCTGCCTCCTTCTTTCTTTGCCCCAGGTCCCCTCACGACACCCCTGCCTCACACCCCCCCCCATCCCGCCGGCAGGTTCCAGGACTGGCCAGGCACCCGAGCCAGGCTCCCTCCCTCGGGCTCCCCCATTGGGGTTCTGTGCTCTCCAGGAGCAGGCAAGGGGTGAGGGGGACGAGGCTCCGGGACAGGCAGGGGCGCCAGGCCCTTCCCAGAGCAGAGGGGAGCGGGGGGCCGAGGGGGAGGAGCGGCCGCGGGGATGGGCCTGCCCGCCTGGCGTGGCCTCCGGGCTCGGGGCTGCACCCAAGCCTCGCCGAGGACAGCGGGGGGCACGATGTAGGCTGAAGGGGATGAAACGCAATTACACTGAAACGATGATTTCTTCAGCTGCGCCAGAGCTGGTTGTAGTCCAGGATACAAATTTCTTGAGATTTAAAAAAAAATTAACTTTAGAGAAAAAGACCGGAGGGAACGCGCCCCGCGGGTGGCGGAGCCTCCTGGGTAGCGCCTCGGGGTCTTTTCTCTTTTCTCACTTCGGGGCGCCTGGGGGGCACCGCTGGGCTCCGGGGAGCCCAGGAAGCAGAGGGGCATCTCCACCCCACACAGAAGCGGGCGCCGCGCCAGGCCACGGGCACCCGGCCCCGCCAGAGGGCTGCGGAGCCCCCGAGCCCCCACGTTGTGGCTCCCGGGCGTCAAGCGAGGTCCCAGGGACTGACTGCGCAGAAGGAAAAACTCCATGAACTGTCCCTGATGCGCTCACGGAAGCAGTGAGGGTTACATAATAATCTGCTGTTCGGTGAAACCTGCCTCCTTAGGAGCGAAGTCTAAGACAGGTCTCGGTGGCGCGTGCTGGGAAAACGAAAAGGAAAACCTCCCTTCAAGCCCATGCACTTACCACAAGCCGGGAAACCCTGCCCGGCCCGGCCCTCGGCCAACTCCCAGGCGCCCCGGCCCAGCCCGTCCCGCCACGGGGACTCGCTTCAGAGCCAGCGCAGCGCGGGCCTCGCTCACCTGCGTCCCTGGAAACGCGACCTTCCCGAGGCTCCTTTTTTAGCAACTAGAAATCGCAGGGGCTCAGCTCACCCCGTGACCCCGCACTTATAAAATGAGCTGGCAGGGTCCCCAGGGCGGGAGTCAGGGTGGGAGCCGCAGGCGACTTCCTGGGGTCCTCGCGAGGGGCTTGGCCTGTCCCGGGAAGCGCAGATGCTGGCGTGGGGCTTTTGTTTCCACGGGGGCTCCCTGAGCCTGGTCCCTACTGACCCGCCCGGCTGGGGTGTCTGGAGAGCGAGCAGGGGGTCCGGGCGCAGCGTGTCCCAGCGCGGGAAGGGGGGGCCCCGCCTCCCGCCTCCCTCTCAGGAACTCCCCCCTGGGTGGACCTGGCCGGAGGTGGGGATAGTGGTCAGGCAGCACCCGGCCGGGCCAGGGCGAACCTCCCAGCCGCCCCGGTGGCCAGGAGTCCGTGGTCGAAGCAGCGCCAAACAATAACCCGAGGGGCGGGAGGGGCTGCAGCCTTTTGGAATTAAATCAGCCTGATGAAGGCAGTTTTTAAAACCCTGACTTTTGCCAACAAGCACGTCCTCTGTGGTCCGGCGTGGGGCCAGCTGCCCTTGGCACCGCGTGGACGGTGCACCTGTCAGGTGGCCCGGCATGGTGGGCTGGCCTAGGCTGCTTCTCCTTCCGCTCGACGCGGCCAAGGCTGTTTCCCCACTGACAGAACAAGGAGAGGATGCCCGGCTGCGCCCAAGCCCAGAGTCCTGCCCACCGGGCAGCCCAGCCCTGCCCGGGCCCCCTCGGAGGGTCCTGTCGCAGCTGTTCCTGCCGCGGGGCAGCCTGGGGTTGCTGACCGGGGTTCGGGGCTCAGCCCCCGGTGGCCTCGGGCGCTGCTCCCTCCTCCTGGTCCCTCGCACCTGCCTATGCACCCCTGAGCAGAGCGGGCAGGAGTCCCCTGGAAGGAGCCCCGGACACGGCTCCTCGGCTCCCCGATTCTGCCGCGGCTCAGAGTCGGGCTGTCTGGACTTCAGATTTTGCTGAGGACGCTTGGGGGCTCCAGGGAGAGGGGTCCCTGCTGCACTCGCTGCTCTGGGCGGCCCTCTGGGGGTGGACACCCGAGACCGACCCCAACAAGAGACACGGTGCTTCCTTTTGGGGCCCCAGGGCGGCCCCTCCAGGGCCCCTCCAGGGAGGCTCCCCCTCACCGAGCTCCAGGGGGGCCCCGCCCTTACCCCACGCTCCAGGAGCATGTCTCGGAAGTGGGCCACCCGCTCCTCCAGGGGCAGCAGGATCGGGGGCGGCGTCCTGGGGCCTGGGTCGCCGCTGTCCGTCTCAGCCAGCCCGGGGCTCTCGCGGCCTTCCGTCCTTCGGGCAGAGGACACGGTAAACAGCCCTGGCCCCGCTGCGCCCGGCCCTGCACCTCCCCGCACCTGGGACGGCGGGCTCGGTCCCTCTAGGCAGCAAAGCCGCGCAGGTGGCCAGGAGGGTCCGGCTCTGGGACGACACAGGCATCGCAGGTGGGGGGGGCCGAGGGGGGCTGTGCCACGCCGGGTGCCCAAGGGAAGGAGGCCTCCCTCCTGGAGGCCACGGAGCCAGCCGGCTTGCCCTCGGCCCGGCTCCCGCCCCAGGCCCTCCAGAGCAGCTTCAGCCTGGACCAAAGCGCCCGCTCCGTGGAGGCCGAGCCCACCAACTCGCAGGGCGGGAGGGCGTCCAGGCCCAACCCAGCGCCCCGAGGCCCAGGCCAGGGGCCCACTCAGGCTCAGCCTCTGCGCACAGCCACGCTCACAGCGCCCGCTCCCGGACACTCACGCCGCGGTCACCAGCACACGCGGTCACTCACGCCACGGGCCCGCCTGGCAGGCCTGGGCCCTCCCTCACGGCGTCTTTGCTGTTCAGGGCAGCCCCGGACTAACCCACGACATGGGTGCCGCCCGGCAGGGGCCGTTCACAGACCAGCTACCTCCGGACGCACAGTCTCTGCCCTTCATGTGATCATGTGGGATTTTGGGAACAGAAGGTCACCATGGGCTGCGTGTGTCCCGTTCCAAGGGTGGGCCGGGACTGCTCTGTGAGGAATTCTCAGCTGACAACAGCAGCGTGGGGGCGGCCTGGCGTTGCTGCCAGCCGATGGGGTCCCAGGGCGCCCGAGCCGCTGGCCATGCCCCGGAGGCTGGCAGGGCGCTGGGAAGCGTCCGGGCCAGGTGTGGCAGGAGAGGGGTTTGGCCTTGTCCAGCCGATCCCAGGTCAGGGTCCCCAGGCCCAGGGCCTGCCGTCCCCACCCTTTGGGACGTGAGGGGCACCCTGCCCTGGGTCTGGAGGTCTGGGCGTGTCCCGCTGCCCCACGGGCACATATGTCTGGCCGGACGGGTCCAGGCTCAGCAAGCCGGTCACTCTGCCTCTCAGGGGCCAGTGCTACTGAAGAGCAAAGAGGGGACCTCGCCTGCCACTGCCCAGAACACCCTAGACCACAGACATGACCTCACCACCCCAGGTCTTTCGGGCGGCCACCTGAGGCCACCCGGCAAAGGACGCTCAGTCCACCAGCTGCAGGTTATGGGTCAAGGAAAGTGGCTTTTCACTGTCCCCACGATGGGAGCAGATGGGGTGGGGGGAGAAAGGGGGAGGGAGGGGCTGGGGGGCAGGGTTCCCCGCAGCTGCGCTGAAGCCCTTCTCAGCACAACCCGCACCCCCACGTACCCCCCACGCACCCCACACACCCGGCGTCCGTGTGCAGGGGCCCTGGCCACTCGGAAGGTGGGGGCTCGGAGCTGGCCGAGGCCACGTGTCGGCACCAGGGAGTGTGGGCTCAGGCCCTCCCAGAGTGGCCCCGGCGCCCCCTCCCCAGGCCCTCCCTGCCCCCCACTTGAGAGAATCAGCAGCTGCCGGCTTTGACCTTGGCCCGACTGCAGAGCAGGCCGAGGAGATGCGGATGAGGCGGTGTCCAGGCGGCCGACCCCACGCAGAGAGGGTCCGAGAGGCGCCGGGCAAGGGGTGTGGCCGGGTGAGCGGCCTCGGGCAAGTGGCTGTCCAGCCCGCCCCGCGCCTCCTTTCTGCTATGGTCTCTGCTGCAGACGAGGCGGCCTTGAGCACGCCGGCGCGGGCGGGCGGCGGGAACATGACCTGCTCATTTCTGATCCTGCTGAAATATTCAACGCCTGATTCCGCCGTCACCGTGTCCCTGTGCCTCCCGGCGCTGCGGCTCCTAAACGCACAACAGGCTCCTGCGTCTGCATCCGCGGCTCTAAGCCCAGTGAGCAGGAAACGCCAACGGAGGGCGGCTCTGGCAGGGGCCACCAGCCCGCCCCCAGGCGCCTGCACCCCGACTGTGCACTGGGGCTGGATGCCGGCCTGCCCGCAGCGTCCGCTGGGGGCACTGAGGCTGCAGGCACTGGGCGAGCGGCCCTGCAGGAGCTCCGCTGGGTGAGAGCTGCCCTCCCTGCGGGCCCTGGGTCAGGGTGGGGTGCCCGGGGTCCTGCTTCACCTGGCCAGCGCCCAGCGCTGTAAGCAGTGGCAGGGCACAGTCAGCACAGGACGCCTGGGTGGCCCTGGCTCCCAGCACGAGTGGCCCCACGGCTGGGCCTTGCAGGGTCTTCAGCCGTCCCTGTGGCATGCGCTGGCGGGACGCCCGTCCCAGTCTCTGCCCGGCCATGGGGAGCTTCAGAGCTGGCCCGGATGTTGCTGCCCATGAGTCTGAACGTGACCGCCCTGCTCACGCGGGCTGACACCGGGCAGCTGGGTGAGTGGCCAGTCTGGCATCCTGCTCCAGGAAGGGCAGGGAGGGCGTGCAGGGAGATGGGGTACTGGGAGTGGGGATACAGGGGGGTACAGGGAGTGGGGGTGCAGGGGGTGGCGCTGCCCCTCTCAAGACCCCCCAAGATGGGGCGCTTTAGGGTCTTGGGGCTGCTGCCCATCTGAATGTCCATCAGCCCCTCGAGCCCCACTCTGTCTCCACAGCCAGGGCCCGTGGGGGGGCACAGCGCAAGAGGCAGCGTCGGGGGTGGGAACTGAACACTCGGTCCAAACAGATGCAGCGGGGCCGCCCACAGGGCACAGCGGGTGCAGCGCAGGGGACGCTCCACAGGTCGGACGGGGTGGGGGTGGCCCCGGCTCGGGCAGTGGTGGACGCGGCTGCTTCGCCGGCCTGGTCTCCTGGCGCGGGCGTCCACTAGCCTCGGGGCCAGCCCTCTGTCTGCTCAGCCGGGGGGCATCTCACCTTTTATTTGCTTCAGTAGGCGGGAGAACCTCTTCTTTCTTCTGGCAAAGAGGCTGGAAATTTATCATCAAAACGCCACGAGCCTATAACTCCGGCGCAGGCGAGCGTGAGATTCTGCGGGAATCAAAGTCTCTCTGCCTTGTGGGGCCTCCGACGCTGGATTGTGTGCGCGTGACAAACGGCCTTGGCAGAGGCACTCGAGAGCCGTGTTCTCTGGCCCCGGCCTCCGCGCAGCGCAGCGCAGGCTCTGGCAGTCAGGAGAACGGCGAGTCAATCGGGGTCTCGGGGCTCGTGGGGGCGATGCGGGGGCCTCCACCCCTTTCCAGGGGTAGCTGCGAACAAAGCCACTGGGCGGGAGGACGTCGCCGGCCCGTGGAGCCGCCGCCGAGAGGCCCTGGCTGGGTCGGAGCACGAAGCTAGAGATCATCTGGCCTCGCCGCGAGGCCAGGCCGCCCGTGAGGGACAGGCGCAGCAGGTGGCTGGGCACACGCAGCCCACAGGAGGAGGGCCCGGGCTCTGGGCTGGGGGCCGACGCTCCCCTCCCGCATCCACCGGCTGCCCGACTGCACGCCGCTCTCCCGTGGCTCGGGTCTGTCCGACAGCAAGATGTGGTCCTCCTGGGCGGCCCTGGGTGTCCTGGCCAAGGAGGGGCCCTGGCCCTCCGTCCCGCACCCCCTGGGAGGTGCTGCTAAAGGCTACAGATCGTAGGCCATGACCAGCTGTGTCCACCGTCCGTCCCCCCTGCAGGCAGAGCTGGCCTGGCCAGTGGGCAGGACCCCAGCAGTGAGGAGAGCCCATATGCTCCCGGGGTGCGGCGCCCACTGGGCCCAGCGTGTCCTGTTCTGGGACCCCTGCCCGGCCCAGGCGCCCACACTGTGATCCCCCAAGGGCAGGTCAGCCCCAGGTGCTCTCCCCCGGGGGTGATCCCCGTCGGTTCTCAGGTCACCGGGAGCTCGATCCTGATGTGCGTGGATGCGCGGGCCTGGGCTGTGCCCTCGAGACGGAGGATTTGGGTGCAGCGGAGAGGCTGACGGTGGCTTGTAGAGGAACAACAAAACCTAAGGTCCTCTCCCGCCTGGACTTGCTGCCCCGATAGCCCTTAGCGGGGCAGGAGGAGACATGGCCCAGCTGCGCCTCGGGACCGGGCCCCTAACAGCACCGAGACGCTGCAGAGGGGAGCAACCTCACGGCTCCCGCAGCGCAGGCACCGAGCCGCCCGGTCCTCCCACGGGGCAGAGCGGCCCGGGCTCAGACAGCAGGGGACAGGCCTGCACGAGGCGAGGCTGGCTCCGTGAGTGGGAGCGGTGGGCGGCAGCCCTGGGGAAACAGGGGACCCCAAGAATGGACAGCGGGGCCCTGGCGTGCGCAGGGACAAGGGGCCGCGGAGCCAGGACCCCAGCGGGGCCAACTCCAGAGAACGGACAGTCAACCCAGCAGCATCAGCGAAGGGACAGCAGGGGACAGGCCCTGTGTCCCACAGGCAGAGGATGCAGGGCGAGAGGCCGAGAATCTGGCCAAGAAAGCGCCCGCCGTGGGAAAGCGAGCCACACCTCCAGAAAAAGCCGCTGTCACAAGCTCGGGTGGCAGCGGGCGGCTCCGGGGGGACTGCGGGCAGAGGGCAGCGCCCGCGCAAGAGGTGGGTCCGGAAAACGCCGCTCCCCAGCAGTGCAGAGACCAGCGGGACGGGAGCCAGGCCCAGCGTGGCTCAGGGGCACCGGGACGCGGCAAAAGGCCCAGGAGGCGCACGGAACGAGGAGGGCAGAGCCGTGGCCGAGCCCCCGCCGCGCAGAGGCCCCAGGGACCCCAGAGCAGTGCCCTGCAGGGGAGACGCCACCTGCCTCTGAGCGGGGGCTGCCTCCGGGGTGCCCGCCGCGAGCCGAGGGCCGGACGGCACCCGCGTGTGCTTAGGCAGCTGGTTCAGTCCTGGGAGCCGGCGGCCGCCGGGGGCGTGGGCTGCGGGGCCCTGGGGGCCTGGACGGGCTGCGGCCACTGGGGCGGCGCCCGCAGGAGCCCAGAAGGGCCTCTGAGAGAGGAGGCTTCAGAGCCTGGACGAGGCCACAGACCCTGACCCCGTAAGGGCGGCCGCTCGGGTCGGGGAGCCACACCTACCGGTTCCTCTTGCTTTTCACGTTCTGGTCGTCGCTGCCGTCCTCCGAGCTGGATCCGTCGCCGGGGTCGGCTGAAAGAAAGCCAGGCAGCCGGGTTGGGGAGCCCTGGGGAAGCCCCGGGAAGCCCCACTTGTAAGCAGACTCGGCTGGAAGGAAACAGACTCTCCCTGCAGCTGGCGCTGGCCCACCGGCGCCTCTGGGCTGTCCGGGGGGAATCTGGCCGCTCTTTTGCACAAAGGAGCCGCCTCCACGGGCTAAGCCCCTGCACAGGTGCTGGCCAGGCCGCAGGACGAGCTCGATGGCCAGCCCGCTCACTCGGCCCAGCTCCGGGCCCAGCCCCAGGCCGGGTCCCTCACAGTGGGCCTCGCACCACTGACCACGAGCTTCAAAGGCTGCAGAGACCGGGCCTCCGCCCTCTGGGAAGAGCCCATGGGCTTTCCAGTGAGGCGCCCTCCACGAGCCCCAAAGGGAGCAGGAGACACCAACAAGGGGGCCCCGATGGCCTCTCCAGCCTGGCAGGCGACCAACGCTCCCGGGAGCGCAGCTGTGAGGCCCTGCTCGCGGGGTTTGTCCTCCAGGCCCGTGGGCCGGGCAGGGGCCGCTCTGCCCAGGGCCCCCCAGCCTGTGAGACTGCAGACGCCCAACACCCCCTGCAGACGCCCAACACCCCCCACCCCAACACCCCCACCCTCACCTCCCCAGCCCCCCACCTCACCTCCCCCCCCAACCCCGGCCAGCTAGTATCCGACACCGTCCACCCTGTGCCACTCAGGAGCTGCAGGGCCCTCCCCGTGTCCACCGGGTCCTGGGGAACCCTGGGGACCGGCGGGGCAGGGCTGGGTGGAGACCAGGCAGCCCCACGGGGAGCACGGCCGGGCGCGGCCCCTCGCCCCCCCTTCCGCGGCTGTTCCTCTCCACTAACGGCTCAGCCGCGGCCATAAAAACCCTGGGCGCGCCGCAAGGTGACTGGAAATAACTCAGCTCGCCTGACGCCCCGCAATGTCAGCGAGGAGGCGCCTCGGCTGCGGGGAGGGGGGCGGGGCTCCGCGCTCGGCCGCCCCGGGGACTGGGGCGCCTTCAGGGCCTGCCCCCACCCGCCCCCCGCGGGTGCCCAGGCTCACACGCAGGGACACACCCCAAGCCGACCAGCACTTAGACGAGGCAGCCATTTTATAAAATCCATTTATTCCGTTTGTCTCCTGAAAACCCCGCCGCCAACGGGAACGCTCAGCCGCCCCATCGCAGGCCAGACGCAGGCGCCAGGACGCTCAAGGCGCGAGACTCGCTGCTGGGAAACGCGGCCGACCCCACAGGGCCGCGGGGCTGGCGTGGTCCAGCTGGGTCCCCCCGGGCGCCCCGGGAGGCGGCTCCGTCCAGAACCCGCAGCCGGGCCCAGGAAGGGCCAGTCTCCGGGCGCCTGTCCTCACACCGACCACCCGGGACCACCCAGGCCCCAGCGCCCAGCGGGCCGTGAGCACAGCCAGCGTGGACGGGCCAGCGTGAGGTCCGGCTGGGACCCCAGGAGGACGGCCAGCGACCCGTCCCCGCCACCTCCTCTGCGGAAGCCCCGGCCCCCGCGTGGCCCACCCCGTCCGCTTGACGCTGCCGACGGGAGCAACTCCGTTCAGACAAACCCTTCAACCGCGTCGGGGCTCAGGTGTCTCCCGCACCGTCCCCTCCTGCGGGCCTCAGAGCCCGGGACGCAGGTGGCGAAGGGGCAGCTCTGCGGGCGCCCATGTCCCTCAGGCCTATCCTGGTCCAGGCGAGAGAAGCGGACGCCAGCTGCACCTGGCCTCGTGGGCCCTGCCCGAGCCGGCCCTGCCGCGCTGCAGAACGGGGGAGGCGGGGTGGGGGGCCGCCCAGTCTCCTGCAAGAGTCGAGCTGAGGCGAGGAGCGTCCCCTGGCCCGGGGCCACAGCCCAGCCCTCCTGGCGCCACTTGCGGGCGGGGCTGAGGCTCTGCCGGGACTCTGGCCCGGCCTCCCCCGCCTGCAGCATCCATTTCGCCAGAGGAGGGGCCGGAGACCGAGGCCGAGCCAGCCCCGCGCTGGCCACGCCCGCACCCAGCGGCATCGCGGGCTCTGCCGAGGACCCGCTGTCGCGGGCTGAGCGACCATGGCCCCCGGCGCCCATCCCAAGAGTCCGCGGCCGCTTTGCAAGAACCGTCCGGTCCCACCCTCAGCACTGCTAACAATGCTCCGAATCAAAGCCCAAACCCCGATTCCACCGTCCTCTACACCCCCAGCCACGCACCCCTGCATTTGAGTAGAAACGCAGCTGTGCCATCTCGAGCCCCCCGAGGCGAGTGTCCCGGGGCCCCACCAGACACCCCACAGAAGCCAAACGGAGACCCTCCCGCGAGGAGTCGGCTCCATCTGCTGCCCTTGAGGCTGCGCTGCGGGGGGCGGAGCCGCACCCCCGGGGAAGCAGGTCGGGAGGAGCCCTCCAGGGCCAGGGCGCACCCTAAAGCCTCGGCCACCGCAGCCCCCCAGGCGCGCTCTGAAGCCCTGCCCCCGCCCCGCAGGCCGGCGCCCCCCCGCCCCCCCTCATAGACGGGGCCGCCCGCCCAGTTACTTGCTGCCGCCTCCAGCTTGCGCTTGTGCGGGGGGTCCTCCAGGATGCGGTTGAGGTCCCCGCGGTTCCGCAGGTCCCCCGGCTTCTCCCACACCGACAGCTGCATCGTGGGGTTGAAGAAGAAAACCCGGTCGTCGCCGGTCCAGACCACGCACCTGCGGAGGGAGCACGCTCAGCCGCCAGGCTTCCCCCCGGAAATCCGGCCCGGCCCGGGCACCCGCCCTCGGACCCAGCCCACGCCGGGCAGCCTCTGGGCACGGGGCAGGGCGGCAGCAGAGGCGGGTCTGGGGCTCCCAGCCCTTCACCCCATCTCACTCACCAGCCCCCCGCCCCCCGCGTCCAGTCGTCCCCCACGGACCCAGCCTAGGGGAACCCGGCCTCTGGGGGAACCCAGGGCGAGCCCTTGGGACGGGTCCTGGCCCGAGCACGGCCTGCAGGCGCCAGCAGCAAGGGCGCGTGGCCTCCCGAGCCCCAGCCCCGGCGTTCCGCACTTGGGCCGCGGGGTCCTGCGTGGAGCTGCCCGAAGTGCCCAGGGCGGACGTGGAAGCTCAGCAGAGAGGAGGGAAGAGTAAGGAGGGAAAGCATCCCAGGCGGGAGGGAGCAGGGAGGGGTGCCGGCAGCCCAGGCCCTGGGGACTCCATCCCACCTCAAAGCATCCAGGGGGTCGAGGCCAGGGCTGCCCCCACCTCTGGCTCCACCTGGGACAGGCCAGGATGGGCACAGGAGGCGCTGGCCCGGCCTCCCCCTCCTGGTCCCCGGCTTGCAGGGCCAGGAGCCCCCCGCCTGCACGGGGTTCTCCTCGTCCCCCGCTGCTGCAGGCCTGGCCGGGAGGCGCCAAAGCTCCTGGCCGCTGGCCTCTCGGGGGAGGAGTGCCGGGGGGCCGGGGGCGCCCACCTCGCGCGGCCAGGCGCGGGCAGTTCCGGCCCCCAGGCGCGGCTCCGCAGGGACGTGGCTCTTGCTGTTCGGGGGCTGAGCTCGAGGCTGGGGCAGAACCCCACGTCCTGGGCGCCAGGCGGACAGGCCCTTCCTGGAGATGACCCTGAGGTGCCGAGAAGGCCCGGGTTGCGGGGACACCCGGAGGGGCCACCACCCCGCCCTGGAAGTCACCGTGGGATCTGGCGGCTGAGGGAAGGCCTGGGGCAGAGCCGGGGCTCCTGACCCCGTGGGACAGGATGAGCTGGTGGGGGCCAGGCCTCCACTGGGGGGCGTCAGGGCTCCCCCGGCCTGCGTGTCCTGGCGGCGTCAGCACCCCACTCAGGGTGGGCCCCGCCGAGAGCCGGCTGCAGCGGTGGTCATTGCAGGTGGGGCCGCGGCCTCCAGCTCTGGACCCGCCTGCCTCGGGGGCCCCTCGCCCCGCCCTGGCCGCTCGCCACCGGGCTGGGACGTGGGAAAGGGGCTGTGGCTCCGACATCCCCCACGGAACCCAAGCAGCAAAGGAGGGACCCCCCCGCTTTCTGTGGGCAGAGAGTCTCGTGGGCTGGGAGGCTGCGGGGAGCCCTGGGGCCGGCGTTGAGGGGGGACCCCTGGGAGGGGGCTGCCGGCCTTTCTGCTGTGGACGCGGTGACGTGAGGAGCTTTCTCTGAGCGCGAAGGGAAGGTAACGGCACTGTGCGTGGGCAGGAGCCTGGGACAGGACCCGCCGCCCTGCCTCCCCGCTGCACCCACGCGTGACATCACCGGCGCCCCCTTCTAGAGGCTGCGGGTGACTCTGGAACCCCTGCTCCCCGTCCCGCCTGCCGCCGCCGTGCCCAGCCTCGCCCTCCCCAGCAGGCACTTCCCGCCCGGCCCCCACCTCCTTCCGAGGCCTGCCTTGGGCTGCGCCCAGCTGCCTGGGGACGCGAAGGCTCCCGGGCACTCAGTGTTGGGTCCTGAGATGCAGACCGTCTGGCGAGGACCCCCCAAGCCACACACTGGGCCGTGGGGTTTAGGGGCCGGGTTTCAACTTCGGCCACAGACGGCAGCTCACAGGTGTCCTGTCCACCAGACACGGGGCTGGGCCTGAGAAGGGTCTGGCAGGCAAGACGGGGCCGCCGGGTCTGGGCAGCCGGGACTGCAGGTGGGTCTGGGAGGAGCGGGAGCAGTTACAGCCCCGACGTCCTGCCGCGAGCTTCCCCGCCAGGGACAGCGCTGCAGAGGGGCCTGCTAGGCTGGTGCCGGGGCGGGCAGAGGGACAGCGGCCTGCGGCTGCACATGCATGTCCAGGCAGAGCCGGTGCCCGCCAGGGACACGCGCGGAGTTGAGCCAAAGAGCTGAGGCGGGTGAACGAAGGAGGCTCGGGCAGAAGCTGCCCGTCCACGCCCACGGTTGGTTCCAAGCCGACCGACCAGCCGCGCCACGCGGTCTTAACTCATGCATCATCTTGTGCACACTTGAAGGGACAAGTGCACGCCCCGCCTCCAGCCGCGCCTGTGACTCCTGGGCGCTGCCGCCGTCCCTCTCCTCAGCTGCCCGGTCCGCAGGCTGGGTCAGCGCCCGACGGATTCCAGCGTGGGGAGCAGCCGGGCGCCGAGCAGCCCACGGACGAAAGTGTGTTTCAGCCGATGAGACCCGGGCTCCCAGCGCCCTGCAGCCAGTGAACCCCGACCCTCACAAGCTCTGGGGGCGCCTCGTCCCAGCTTCCGTCATCACCCCCGTGAGCCCCCCACATGCAGGCCCCTGGTCCTCCAGCCCTGTCTGTCTCCGTGGGCCCAACCGGCGCGGCCTGCACCCACCAGGACAGGCCTCGCCGCAGGGACAGTGCCCGGTTCTCCACCCGCCCGTGGGGTCCCCGAGAGACGGACACGCAGGAGCAGCCGGCCGGGCTCCCCGGCGCTGCCCACCACGGACCCTCTGCCTTCAAGTCCTCCGCGGGCTCGTCAGGACTTTGCCTGTGGCCGTCACTGCTGCCGGACCTTTCCCCGCTGTTCGGTGACCAGAGGGGAGGGCCGGGCCGGGCAGAGGGACACGCAGCCCTCCGGAGGCGCGTTCCAGCATCAGAGCCTGACCCGGGAGCCCAGAGCCTCGTCACAGAAGCCAAGGCCTGCAGGGCCCCGGGGACCGACCCCGGCCCTCGCCCCGAGGCTTCTCCCCACGCGCCCTGCGCCCCGACCTTCAGGCTTTAAGCTGAATTTTACTTTAACCGCCCCTCTCTGCTGCCCCCAAATCACCCCACTGTAAAGGGGCCTTTGTAAATACCAAAGCCGCAGCTCCCGGCAGGGGTGTTTGGAGTGTGGGTCTCGGGGCCTGGATCCCAGGGGCACGGGGAGAGGCTGCCCGCTGCCCACCACCACCCACTCCAGGGCAGGGAACCGCCCTCTGGGCTCCGGCGGCGCGGGCCTGTGGCGCTGGCCCGCTGAGGACACTGAGCCCCGGGGCCGCAAACCCAGCCCTAGCGCGCGGCAGCGGCTCGGGGCTCCAGGGTGACGGCCGCGCCGGGCCCTCGCCCGCTGCTCAGGCACCTTACCAGGGGGATCCGGGCACCGGGGTGGACGCCACGGGTCGCGTGCCTTTGGCTGCGCCGTCCTCTCTGGTCACCAGGAGGGGCGGAGGCTCCTTTAGCAGAAAGAGAGGGGGCACTTTCTCAGCCGGACGCTCGTCCGCACCCAGCAGCAGCCAGCAAGTCTCCCATCAGAGCCGCGAGGGCGGTCACCGGCTGGGGCCGCTCAGCACTGCCCAGCGCGAGGACAGTCATGCCGACAAAGTGGGCTTGAGGGCATGGCCGACTCTGCAGAGCAGCCCGGCCTCGCCAGCCCCGCCGCCCAGCGGCCACCCAGCCACCCAGCCGCCACCAACAGGGGGTACGGTGTGGCCGCAAGAGGCGTTCAGGCTCCTCCCGCCGCGGGGCAGGACGTCGCTGGATTTGTCTCCCAGTGCGTGGACCCCGCGGCTGGAGCCCCCAGAAGCAGGAGGACCCCTGGGAGGCAGGAGGCCGGAGGGAATCGAGGACCCGATCTCTGCAGCTCTGGAGTGGCCGCCAGCAGGGGCGGGGGCCTCCTGCGTCTGTCTCGGTCCCAGAGCGTGCAGCACAGCCCGGAGGACATGGCGGCGACTGCTGGGTGTTAGGGACGGGCGGTCGGGCAGCACACTGGGTCTGGCCGCGGCGCACGCAGCTTGGAGGGGACCAGCGTGTCCGAGGTGAGGCGGGGTAGGTCAGTGCGAGCCAGGCCCGTCCAGACGGACGGGGTCCACGCACCACCACGGTGTCCAGCGGACCCGGGGGAGCAGGGCTGACTCCCTGCAGGGAGCGGCCGCCGCATGGGGGCCCACACAGCCCGCGGCCGCCGGACGTGGGGTGGTCCCTGCTGGCTCTCTGGCACTAACCCAAGCTCGGAGACCTCAGGAAGAGCGTGTCCTCTCCCCTGAAAGCCGGGCGAGGGCAAGATACGCTTGTCCAGAGAGCAGCCCTGTCCTGAGCTGGCTGTGGGGCCGCTACAGCTCACCTCACGCCGAGGGCCTCACGCCGGCGCCCGTCAGGTTCAGCAGGACCCCATGTGCCCCTGGGGAGGGGTCCCCTGAGGGAGGCGCGGGGAGGGCCCAGCCCACGTGTGGCCTGCACCCCCCTTGCAGGTGGTGGGAAGGAAGCGCTGGTCACGGGCACCCTAACGCCCAGGACATGGATAACCCATTGTCCGCAGCGCCGGGGACAGGAGCCCCGAGGGGCCGGGAGTGGCGTGACGCCCACTCACCAGGGGAACGGCCAGGAAGGCGGGGGGAGGGGGGCACCGAGGGAGGATGAGGGCCCCGACGCCAACCAACATCGCTCCGGGGCCGGGTGTCTGCTGGGGCGAGGGGAGAGCACCCTGGACGGGCCTCCGCGCCCCGGCATTATGAGGGTGCCCTGTGCCATCACTCGTGGGACAGGCCCCGGGCAGGCGGCCCGGGTGCGCGTGGGTGTCCCTAAGCCCGGCCGCTCCCAGCATTTCCTGGGGATGGAAAGACTTTGTTTCGTGGGGGAACAAGGTCAGGATAAATAATCAGCCTTACCGGGGAGTGTTGAGAACAGTTGTCTTAAAACAGTGTATGTGTTAAGGGCAGAGTTTACGCCACTGATCCAATTAGAAAAACCAGGCGATCTCATTAGGAGGCCAATTGACCCACAGAACCCCAACCAGCAGCCCCTGGGCCGCAGATCACCCGCTAATTACTGGCAAGACACGAGGGACAGGGCAGGGCCAGGCTCCGAGGGGCCGGCTCGGGCCGCCGTGGCTCCGCTGGTTATGATTTCCTGTTGGTGATAAAAACAGCTGATCGTCGCATAAAACTCCCTCCCTGCTCAGGAAATAAAAGTGAGTCAGACGTGCAGGACCCAGTGGTAAACTGCCCGTTTAATGAGTCGCCGCCAGGGACGTCCCGGCTCACCCGCACAGGGGCCCCGGGCTCATGGGCACCCCCGGCGTGAGCGATCTGGGCCTCTCCCTGGGCACGGCGCAGGGAGACGCGAGCCGGAATGCGGGGCCTTGCGGGCCGGGCAGGAAGGACGTGGGGGGCCTCGTGGGCCATGGGGGAGACCAGGCGCCGAGGCGGGGTCAGCCAAGCCGGACGGGTCAGGGCCACGTCTGGCCTCCTCTCCAGGGAGCCGGGCAGAGCCGGCCAGTTCCCGGGCACGAGGCCCCCAGTGATTGGGTCCGTCCTGAAAATACCATTTGGCAACTGGGCAAACGAGGGCCGAAGATGCGCGTGTTTAGGAGAAAGCTAACTTGGGTTAACCCGAGCCGCCGGCAGGGCCTGCGAGACCGCTCGCCGGGCTCCTTCCTGAGGCCCGTGGCCCTGGCCGGGGAGCAGGCTAGGAGCTGCCCACTGGCCCCGCTGCGCTGCCCTCGGACTCCTGCCGCCCCGGCGTGGCCGGCTCCCAGCGCCGGCCCTGTCCCGGCACGCCCCGGGGTCGCAGGGCACCTGCTCCCGCCCGCCCCGCCTGCCAGCACAGGTGCAGCCGACCCACCTGGTGTCCCGGGTCCCCGGCCGGGCTCCGGCGCTCCGCGTGCAGCAGCAGGGCCGGCGGGCAGGGCGCTCGGCCGCGCTCCCGGCTCCTACCTGCTGGGCAAAGGCATCGTCAGCACCTGGTGCTCACCGTTGGGAAAAGTCAACAGGGCAAGTGATCTCGGGAACCCAGGCAGGCCCCGGCGGCCGCTGTGCCGGGCAGATTTCCCAGCAGCCCCTCGAGGCCTCAGCACGACGATCCTGGCAGCGCCACCTGGGCCGGCCTCCCCAGCGCCCGCCGGGACTGGCGCCCCAAGCAGGACTCCAGCCACAGGCGTCAGGACCAGGTCCCCTCGCCCCTCTGCTCCCCACGGCACCCCCCAGCTCCTCCCCCCCAGACACTTTCCCCTAAACCGCAAATCCCTTCTGAGCTCTGTGAAATCGCTCAAATTGGCGCTTCACGGAGTTGGCAGCTGAGGGGGATTCATCTCCCGCCTCTCTGTCACATGGTGGGTTCCCCTGCAGACACCCCTCAATCACCAGGCCCAGGGGGGACGCCCTCCGCAGGAAAGGGCAGTCCCCAAACCCGGCTCCATCCCCTAAGGCCCCCTCCCCCGCCCTCCCCCAGCCCCCTCCCCCACCCCCCAGCCCCTCCCCCAGCCCCCTCCCCTGCCTCCCCCAGCCCCCCTCCCCCGCCCTCCTCCCACATCCCCCTGGCCCTCCCCCAGCTCTCCCCCCAGCCCCCTCCCCCGCCCTCCCCCAGCCCCTTCCCCTGCCCTCCCCCAGCCCCCCTCCCCCAGCCCTCAGCTCAGCTGGACACGAGGGAGACCAGAGGGGGAGCCCCGTGGGGCACCGGCCTCGCTCCCCACACACCCCGTGGGCCGGGCCCGCGCGGTCGCAGTTGAGAGGAACAAGCGTCGATTTAAAGCTTCTCTGAGCCGCGGCTCCTGACGGTGACGAGGTCATCCGCCCGGCCCTTCCGTGACGCGGAGGGACAGACCCGGGCACGGGCGGGGGACCGGCCCCTCGTCTGGACAGGCGCCCGGGGGCTGCAGCAGAGGCAGGCGGCTCGGCAGCCGGCGGGCCCGGGACCCCACGGCCGTGGAGCGGGCGCGGCCCCCAGGCCCTCTGAGCGTGAGGACGCCGCCCGCCCCCGCCCCGTCCGCACGCGGGGGCACGGAACGACACCTGTCGCGTCCCGGCGACAAAACTAGCTCTGACACCTTTTTTCAAACTTCTTTCAGATATTTTCTTTACTTTCAAGAGGACGGTGACTCCGGTCGCTCGGCCCACACGGCTGTGCCTGGCCGACGGCCAACACCAGCCCTCGCGGCGCCGGCTGGGAGGGGGCCCACGGGGGCTGTGACGTCACATGGCCGGTGGGCCTAGAGGAGCCACCCCGCCCAGAAACAGCCCCGTTCTGGGGGATTCTGGGCCGCCGTCCCCCCAAAACACCCCACCCCAGCCGAGGCACCCGCCCTGACCCCCAGGGTGCCCGCCAGCGCTGAGACACCCCCTCCCCATGCCCCTGCGTCCACCCCTCCCTCCTCACACATCCTACGCTGACCACTGTCCGCTGGTCTCTCCCGGGAGAGGCGGGACCCTGTTTTCAGGGTTGCCACCCGCGTGGACCTGCGCGCGGTGGCCAGGGCCCTCAGGCTCCGGTCACGGGCCCCGGGGATCTTGCCTCCCTGCGGTGGCTGCGGTCGGCTGCCCCAGGCCACCCCTCTGGGCCTGGCACCCGGCACCGGGCGTTTCTCCCTCCACCTGCCCCTCTCGGGCCTGGTCCCACGGGGCCTCTCGGCAGCAGAGCCCTGCGCGGGGAGTGAGGTCCGGCTGTCCTCCGCAGCCGTCCTCCCTGGAGGTGCTCCCCAGCTGTGCTCCCTGGTCATGCTCCCTGGCTGTGCTCCGTGGATGTCCTCCCTGGCTGTGCTCCACGGCTGTGATGCCTGGGCGTGCTCCCCAGCTATGCCCTGCACCTGTGCTCCCTGGCTGTCCCCAGCTGTCCTCCCTGGCTGTGCTCCGCATGCCAGAGCATCGGCGCTGATCCCTGCCCAGCGCCCGGCAGCTCAGCTCAGCCCTGCTCCTTCAGAGCTGACATGGTCTCTTGCCTTGGAGGCCGTGCAACCAGCTGTAGGGCAGCACTGCGGGACCAGACCTCCTGCCCGGTCCAGGCGGTGCCAGTGGACTGGCCTGCCCCTCCGCCCCCTCCTTGGCAGCTCCCCTTCTCCCCAGCTCTGTGCAGACCCATCCCCCTCTCCTGGGGACAGTGAGCTCCCAGCCCCCTGCAGTGGCCGCCGGACCCAAGGCCCAGGACGCGCTGGCCTGGATGAGCCGCTCCCCCGTTCCCGCTCCTGCAATTAGCACCCCGGGCGCGGCTCCTGACAGGAAGACAGAGGCTGCCGCGCGGTGGCGGCTAATTGGGGGCGTTATTTATGTGTAGTGAAGGCTTGTGAAGGTCCCTGGCTGTTCCTGACGCAATTAGTGTCGTTGAGGGCGAGGTTAGGAGCTGCACTAGTGGGGATTAGAGCCCCCACCATGCGCCAGGACACAATGCGCGAAGGGGCCGCCGGCTCCCGCAGAAACACCGAGAAATCGGCTGCGGAAGTTTTCACAGGGAAGCCAAGAGTCCCCTCGCCTGTGCGACTGCTTTGCCCGCGGGGGACAGACAGAAGGACGGCGGACACGGGTGACACACAGCCACGCCAGGCAGGCAGCCGGCCCCGGGGGGCAGCATGAGGAGGGCCCCCGCGTGTGCCCGGTGGTTCCGTGCGTCCTAAAGTCGAGCTAAAGTCTAACAGACGGTGCAGTCACTCACTGGAGGGTCACCCCACCGAGCGCAGCTTGGATCCCCCGGAACCAGCCACCCCCTCCCCCGTGCATCAGCGAGTCCCCCTGCCGTTGCTGTCCTTGGGGCCTGATGCGGCCCGGGACACAGGCCTTCCAGCTCACCTGTGCAGACTGGCCACGCACACATGCACATGCCCACACACGCACACACACGTGCACACACGTGCATAGACGCACACACCGGCCACTCGCCTGCGTCCATGGTGCACATGTGTGCACACACGCTGAGACCACAGGCCACGGGGCTTGCTGAGTCTGGCCGACGACGTGCAGGGCCCTGGGCTGCAGACGCGGCCTTCTCCCCAGCGCGCTCAGCAAGCCTGAGGGGCAGCGGGAGGGCAGCGCGGGGAGGGAATCCGTCGGTCGCCTGGCAGGCACACCGGATGCAGGGCACGAGCAGGCCGAGCCTGTTTGTTTGGGGCTGGCAGGCGCAGGGGCGCCTCTGGCAGGGGCTCAGCTCGCTCTCGGACAGGTGTTGCTCAGGGCCGCCTCGCTGGCTGCCTGCGTGGACACGGAACGTGCTGCCCTCCCCGCAGCCCGGACTCCAGCCATGTCAGGCTGACGGGGCTGGTCCGGAACCGGCTCTCCTGGGCCTCCTTCCCAGCCCCCGGAGCACGGGGTGGGGACGGCCGGGGCCAGACGTCCCGGCGCCAGGCACAGGGCCCGAGACAGGGACACTGCAGGGCCCCCGGCTCTGTCCTCGGCCCCTGTCGCATGGTTTCTTCCTCTCCTCCGGCCTCCCGCTGCCCAGCAGCGCAGCAGGAACAAGCCCATGGCTAGTGCCGAGGTGGCCGCCAGGCGGGGCCGGAGTCTGCCCAGGCTGGCAGGACGTGCGCACACCGTTGTCGGGGAAAGGGGAGAACGCTCAGCGGGCCCGGCCCTGCTCTGCCGCTGGACGGCCACTGTGGCGGGCGCCCTCGGGGGGCGGGAGGGCGTGCAGGCCGCCACCTCCAGCAGAGCCTCAGCCCCGCTGCTCCCCGTCTGACTGGCTGGGACGGCTCCACCTGGTAGTCGTCAAAGGGCAAACATCCCGGGGCCAGCAGCCCTCGCCCCGGTGAGCTGGCCCCGTGGCTGCCGAGACAAGTGCCTGAGAGAGGAGGAAGGACTTTCCGAGAACAAGGGCTCCGGGGCGCCCTGACGCCTCCCAAGAGGGGGCGAGGGCTGGAGGCGGCAGGAGGCCGACGGAGCCCCGCTGAGCGGAAGCCGAGGCAGCCGGCTGGGGCGCTCTCGGTCCTGAGGCACGGGAGGTGCCTTGGAGGTTCCCTGACGTTCCCTGGCGGCTTCGGTCCACGGGCACAGCGCGCCTGCAGGACAGAGCTGGGCAAACTCCGGTGGCCTTGGGCCGGGACGGCAACGCCAGGCAGCCCCGGTCAGAGCAGGCGCGGGAGGGGCTCGCTGGGCGGTGAGCAGGGAGGCTTGGGGGTGGCGCAGACCCTGTCCCAGGCCGCCCACCGCCTCCCGGGACCCCACGCCGGGCCACACTCCGGCCCGAGGCCCCCAACTCCAGGTCAGACCCCACTCTGAGCCCCGCCAGGACTGCCCTCTGCTCTTCCCGGCACGCGGCACAGCGTTCACGCGGAGCGCAGCGCCACCCGGGGTGCAAGGAAACTCCAGAACTGGCGGCGGGAGCCAGGCCCAGCCCGGTGAGGGCCTCACCCCAGGACGCTCAGGCGGACGCACTGAGCACGGGCCCAGCGTCCTGCCTTTGCACCGAGTCCTCTCAGCTCCCCAGGCGGCCGGAGGGACACCCCGCCCCCGCTCAGCAACAGGTGCGGAGGGCTCGCCAGCCAGGCCCGGCCTCCCCCGCGTCCACGGTCTGTGCCGGGAATGGGCCCGTCCCGCCCTGCCCGCCCCGCCGGGCACCCACCCGGGGCTCAGCCTGCAGCCAGCGTCCCCGCTCGCCATCCGCTCTCCCCGCACCAGGCCTTTGTGCCCGGCCAGTGGCTCCCTCAGGGAGGGAGGGACCGTCCGCCTCGGCGCCTTCTCCCTCCTCCCAGCAGCCCCTCCGAGGAAGGCTGGTACTGGGGCGGGGCCCAGCCGGCGCATCCTGGCTGCCGGCCACGACACTCGCTTCCAAAAGTGCAGCCGTGAAACCTAAGCAGGTTTTCAATTTCTCCCAATGTCAAAAATGGCAATAAAATCAAAAGGCGAGAGAAAAAATCGAGGAGTCAGACTCCAAGCGGCTTCCTCCGTGGAGCCAGGGAGCGGCGGGCTGCCCCCCGACACCCCGGCCCGCGGCCGGCACGGACTCCCCGCCGCGGCCT